AGTTAGCTTCAAAGCTTTCCAGACCTCAATACAGACAGGCTTGCTATACTTTACAATAGTGGGCAGTTTTTATTGTGCTTAATAGAAGTAAAGTTACGTAACGTACAGCCGCCACCACGTCTTTGTAGAGTGCGCGAGGAGTCGGTTTCAGCTTCGCGGGGCGAAACCCCGAGGCAGTTTCGGGCTTTGATGGGGGCAACCTGACAGCTAGGCCGCACATGCTTCTGATACAGCCCTTCAGAGCTCGAAACTGCCTCGAGGTTTCACCCCGCGGAGCGGAAACCGACTCCTCACGTGCTCTACACAGATGGGGCAACGGCTGTACAGCTCTCAACAGAAAGCGGAGGCAATCACGTACTGCCACTCAAATTGACCGCGTCTTACGAGTTACATGAGTACGGTGGCGCCATTAGCAAAGAGGTCGTAAAACACTTCTCGTGCATTGTCTGAGTCACTGGCGGGCCCTGATTCATGCAACCACGTCGTGCGCATGGCTATGGAGACTGCGCTCCGGCCGGCTTCAGTGAAAAGAAACCTGCCAGCGCACAGTTTCGGAAGCCACTTGTTGTCCCACTAGTCCATAACACAGTTAATGAACAAAATATCCTTGAATCTCTCTTAAAAGTATTCCAAGTGAGCAATAAAGCTGTCCGTACGTTTCTGACGTTTACAAGTGCCTGTGTTTGGTTTGTGCTATCAGTATTAGTAAGGGTCGCAAAGCGCTAATATTACCTGGCGTTCAAGTAATTGCCAAATCAACAATCGCAGATGTGTAGTGGTAGAGGTAGCACTCTTGTGGAAGGGTGTGTGTGAGTGTGGGGGGGGGGGTGCTATTTCTAGTCAGCTTTACCTTTACAGTCTGTTCTAACTATAAGCACTGCTTATAGTTTGTTAGCAGTAGGATGTAGTTAAAAAGTATTCGGACCATGCCCAGAAAGGCATTTTCAGAAAAAGACAAACATCTTCCCGGAACACTTCTTAACGGACACAGGATTAGATAAGCGATAGTGATATACAGTTTTGTTGTTATAAACTGAGTACAGTGTCAGTTTGTATGCTTCCAATATAACTAGAAATGTGTGCGTGATGATGCTTTATCGCGGCGTGAAATTCTGCAAGTAAAGTGTACAAGTAATTTATTCTGTTTCGGTGGGCGGCTTCGTTGTTATTTAGCGGCACTTTGTTCAGTTTGAGGAGCATTAGTTATTGTTTTTCCTAGTTCACTACTTGTAGAAATGAAGTAACTGAGGTAATGTGAACCTCACCCTTTCCATGGCAAGATAGTTATGACAAAACACAACAGCAGTTGCAGTTAAGTTTCAAGAATAAATATTATTGTGGCATAATTCTAAATAAATGTTGTTTATGGTAGGATTCAGCGATATTTTTCAGGTTCTTAGTATGTCACACAATTTACAATCAACATATGCTTGAGAATTACAGAAGGGTGGTGGTGATTTGATTGATTGATTGATTTACGGGGTTTAACATCCCAAAACCACCATATGATTATGAGAGACGCCGCAGTGAAGGAATCCGGAAATCTGGACCACCTGGGGTTCTTTAACGTGCGCCCAAATCTGAGCACACGGGTGGTGGTGATTTGCTGTATTGTACTTATTAAAGTAGACTAAAGGTTAGGCTCCCCTGATGGTTGCATTTTTTTTCAAGCTTGTGGCACAGTCCACCACCTAATTTTAAAGGGGATGCTCAATGCCCATTGCATTCATTCTTTATTCAGTGAGCACCCAATATTTTTTTTTATCCTCTCACACAAAAAGCTCAAGGTTCAAGCACTTACCGAAAGTATTGAATGTCCAGTTCGGAGTTGTCCCGTCGCGTCTCAAGGACCACGCTTGGCAGCGAAACACCACAAACAGTGCTCATATCTGCATCTCTACTCTAGAGAAAGCGACTTGCCTGGCCATTTCTCTGGCGGCACTGATACAACTCTTCGCAGTGGACTTCTCGTACCATCGAAGCCGAGAGCGACGCAAAGCACTTCCGGAATGTTACGTACAGATCTATGGTTACTATGCCTTTCATTTTTTCGGTGCATAGCCACATCATGTTCTCGGTGAGCGCCGACCACAGTGAGTATTTAAAAGCGGTGACACTGTTTTCCAATACGACGTGCGAACAGATTGCTCACACAGCCTTGCTTGAGTGGGTTGGGGGTGTGGGAGTGAGGACAAATATAAATGTTATGAACAGTTTTTTTAGGGTACCGAGGAATTGTTTCCTTATAGTCGTTCTTTGCATTTCATTGTTGTTTCGGTGTTTCATGCCCGTGTGTTACAATCAAAATGGCTTGGGCCATGTGCTGTGGCTTGGCGTCGGCTCGTAGGACGACGAATTTAGAATCCCATTGTAGTTCGACAAAACAATGGTTCTGCGAGCTGTAATTCGAAATACGTAATGACATACGTCCGTTGTGACGACAGTGTGGCTAAAGAATCATTTGTTCTACCATAGTGGGCTTGATCAGAATCACCGATTCGTCACCTAAGAATACCGATAAGGCCAAACACACAAGAGCAGGTGAATGGCGTGACAGCCGTTAGAAAAAGTAGAAACGTTGGAAATAAAGCATGAACCCTCATCTGAGGTGTGCTGGGTGTCCTGTAACTATTTTGCTTGCCAAGTTTTGCCTGGATATAGCGGCAGTTGTGTCATACGGTAATAACAAACAGACAATGAACAATTGCCCCTGAAGCAAACGAGTAGTTCGCTTTCGCAACCTCTATGGGGCACTTGGCCTGGCTGCATAAGCTGCCTGCATTGCTCTTCATACCGTCCTCGCATTTAGAGCCTAATGCAGGCAGGACTATAAGAGATGCGAAAATGAATAGCCGTTACTAGCCCTTCAGGTGTGTATCTTAGTCAGACCGAGTCTACACAGTGACCCTCATCTAAACTCATGAGCAGCAGGCCTTCATCTGTAAAGTAATACCTAGCCTCACCAAAAGTGAATATAGTAGTGCAATTATACTGAACAACTTAGGATGAAGTTTAGTTGGAAACTGAAAAAGCAAGAACTGCCGACGGTGCTGTATAATTCATCCGCCAAAGCAATTTAGCCAAGCTGTTGAATGAAGCAGTCGCTCGAAAACATTTATGTATTTGTAAAATTGCTTTTCTATAGATAACAGAATAAGTGTGTAATTCTTCATTCATGCTCCATTCGAGTTTCTATCTCTAAAGAAACGTTCTCGTAACATTTATTTGTTTCCGTCCGCTCCCACTTTCGTGTCTGATAGCATGTAGCGTATGATCTATACTCTTTCTTACTATCTTTCATTGCTAAAGTTCTCGCACACCACGTATAACACTTCCTCAAAACAATGCCGTACTTATGCAGCTTGTACTACACAATCACCTTTTCTATAGAAGGGTATATGGGCAGATGCACAGGGAGGGGCACTCCGAATGGCTTGATACTCCCAATGATAGTTAAATGAATATACTGAGTACAATTACTGATGCCGGATAATGTGCATCAGGTGTAATGCTTCTGATAAGCTGCCCTATCCTTTGGAATGTATCAGTATACGCCATTAGTGCTGTAGCTCCCCCCCCCCCCCCATCCCGTTGTCACCTAAGAAACTAAGTATTCCGTCGTTAGCACATGGTAATTTGTGTAACTGATGTGCGAACTCCATACTGGTATAAATCTGTTATAGCATGGCATAGTATGTATATTGGTCACAATAATTGAAGGAAGCACCGAGTTTAGGCTCCAGAAATAATTACTCTTCACTTGTCGATTTAAAAGAAGTAAATCTTCTGAGCATTTACCGGTATGAACTCTTGTCAGAAACTGCAGTTGACCGTCATGGCATCCCAGAATCTATAACGGCGTTTTTTTGCTCATTTTGTTCCCGACTGGACGCAGCTTAAGAGACAGCCCAAACGAGCCAAGCAAGGTTACTTTCGAGAAAGGAGAAACTGGCGTATTTCTTAATGGCAATCAAACAAATGTGAGTGTGCCCATCATCTTATCCCCACATAACTTTGTCCCCCATCCAATACCATAATCCACGACATTGATGAAGCGTTTTCATCGTAATGGTAGTTATCGTAGCCTATAAATGGGCACATGGTGCGTCAACCCATGTACCCTTCCCAACAAGTCAGCAACCTGTGCCACTGAGCCCAGTTGCTACTCTGAACCTAGATTGAAAGAGGGCAGTTCAAGCCGTAAACAGATGCACACGGTGAACGCCACCTCCAGTACAGTGAAGGCGCTTCCCGTGTGCAGATGTTCTTGTGAATTTCTGCTTTCTTTCTATCCTCTTAATGCAGTCAACTGCTTCCAGACTCATGGGTTTGTGTTTTGCTGGAAGAGGGGTGGCGACAGCTTAAGGTGTATCAATTGTGCATTCCCTGAGGCACGCAGCATCTACCTTGCCCCCACGATGCCTGCTAAAATATTCGCCATGGTGATGGAGAATATTAAATGCGTAGGGTCAATTTTAGTAATGCATGATGGATAAATCTGCAATGAACATGTGCTTGTTGGCGACATGCTTTCGTTTGTAGGGACTCAAAGCTGGGCATCTAGAGACGAGGTCCGCTGGGACATGTTGTCGTCAGAAATGGGTACTTGTGCATGTGTCAGAATACTGTCGTAGGCCTTACTGGATAATTTGAGACACTAAGACGACAACTGTAAAGAACTGGAAAAGGTCTTAGGACACTGGCTGAAACCATACTTGGCACGGAAAGCTTTGAGAGCGTTGTTGCGTTTCTTACGAGCAACTAGTCTCACACAAAAACTTTAGCAACATCATATATACTTCTGTTTTTTTGTTTTCTCTTTACTTTTTTTGCAAATTCTCCCTTCTATTATGTTTTGTTCCTCTTACACCGTCTTCAGCATAGGGTAGCCAGCCAGTCTGGGAACTGGCTAACTTCCCTGGTCTTCCTTTTTTCTCCTCCTCCTCCACTTTGGCCCTCCATTGAGGTCGTGAAGAAAATATACAAGTGAATAAAACCAGTTTTTCAATTTTTAAACATTCTGATATTTTTTTATTCTCGTGCGCTTTGTTTGGTCGTCCAGTTGAGATTGTCAACGTCCTTCTTTTATTCGCACGGTCGTTCATTCTCCAGTGGTATTTCTCTTGTATGGAGCCATTCATTCGGCCACTTCTCAGCCTGAAGACAGTTGAGTGAGGCTGAAAATGTGGCCTCTCGTAAATAAATAGCGAAATAAATTAAATAAATACGTGCGACTTCACAATGTTGGAGACATCAACCTGAGCGCGTGTGGTGAAATAAATAGCACATGATGAACAAAGTGAAGCACAATCTTGAGACATACGGCACAACAAAACGTGGTATCACACTCAGAGCGCAACCTTACCGGATGGGTAACAGAGCGGATATTGCTATTCACAAAAATAACATCCTTTTCTCAGAGGGGCATGCAATCACATATTTACACAATGACTTCTGAAGAGGTGACACGGGGAAAGAAATGCCGTAATAAAGTTTTGTCTCTTACGGGCAAAGCGTGATAAGCTCGTTTTAATTCGCTCGTTCAGTATTCATTCAATTACTATATAGGTAAAGAGAAACCTCACAGAACAGCTGAACGGGTGAACAAGCTTCTGCCATCAAGAATTTAATAGACAGGTATGTTCTTTGACTCTGACCACCAATTTAAGTCGAGAATTTCTCAAGTACGAAAGTTGTAATTGCTGTGAATTATAGTCACGTAATATTTTTAGGCACTAAATTTTGCATGTCTGTATAGCTTTTGCCCGAATATAATGTTTATAGTACAGTTCAAGGCAATAAGCGCGCATCACGATCTGATGATGCATGTTGCTTCTAGTTTGAAGGAAGGGAACAATACCAAGCCAAAAAAACCCACATATATGCTTTAAACAGCATACAAGTTCTTGTTGTCAAATGGTTGTTTTCTGCCGTTGAATCTTAGCTGACTGTAATAATAACGTTGCATCAGTGTTGTTTTCTATTTATTGTAACAGCGCCAATTGATTAAACACCCAACTGATGCAGCCATCAACTTCATTCTTCTCTGCATGATAATTATTTCATTGAAGAATGGCTGCTTTTCTGTGCGGTATATGTGATCAATTATTTCACCGAGACTTAAGTTCAGCTTGTAAACTTCGAAGAGCCAACAGACATTAAAAGAGACTGCAAAAGCTAGCGCTTCTCAAATTCAGCTTTCAGAAAAAGAGATCTTGTGCAAGGTTTTTTTTCGTTCTTTGTACATCAAAATAAAATTAAAATCAACACCCTAAAATAACCTTGTGACAAAAAAGTACTTCTATTTTACATATACACGTATTTGCTTGATAGCTAACTTCGAGTGACTAAAGGTTTGTTCTGCATGTGTTGCTTCCAAATGTGGATTTGTTAGGTGAAGTTTTAAGCTGGGAAAATTTAACTTTCGAGCCATACTGACCCAGCCTCTGAAAAAAAAAAAAAAACTGGAGTCATTTACTTTGCTTAAAAGCGTGCAGTTCTTATACAAAGCGCTCAGTGGATGCCAATCGCATGAGAAGCTAAGAAATCAGGGGATTAGAAATTACACTCTATATTTTCATCATGAGCAAGTTCACCACCTGCTTGTCATTTTTAAAAATACGTCAACGCACCGGTTTAAAGGCGAATGATGTGGATAGAGAAAATAAAATGATTGTCAAATAAACTAAGGACACCATCATTTCTTAAAAGTAGCCTGCATAGATTACTTTTGCAGCCAGAAAAAAAAAAGACGACTATGTTTTAGCATTGAACAAGCCGTACTATAAAAATGTACGCTTTTAAGACCAATGACTTTTTTAAATGAACGCAATGCTGAAGACTACATTTAAACGTGAACCGTTATTCTCACCGTCAAGAATATTTCACGTGACAGAACGTTTCCAGCTTTCAAGAGCATCGCTTAAGTCTTAAAGGAGCAGTGTCAGGACATTCCGTGCTCACCAGAGGCAGATTAGTTGTGCCTTCACGCGACTACCTTTTCTGTGGTGAATTATTCAACAGGTAGCGCTGAGAGTTCTTAGTTATTTACCCTTTGTCAGACACAACTCAACTAACGAAGCAAACGCGACCTGAAAACATTGAACAACGTAGTAACATGTCCGTGTATATATGCCATATTCCGACAACTTCTCGCAGACTTAACATAAATATCCGTACGTTGTAAAATCGAAAATGAATATTCCTGCACTCATGCGGCGCACACAGACGTTTTTTTAGTTATCGGAACATCGTTACTGATAACTAACTTGTAAACAATGTGGGGAGTGAGAGAACTACCAATCGATGAAAAGCATGCGTTGAAATAGTCGGAATAACATCTGTAGAAAAAGACACCGAAGTGAAATAGTCAATTGCGATGGAATTCAGGAGTGTGCGAGGAATGAAAAGAGTGCATCATTCCGGTCAACGAGAGAGGTATCACAGTTTGCTTCGACATAAGGAAGTAGAAATAGTGCCATTTTTTTTTCATACTCGATAAAGAAAGTTTCACAAAAGGCAAACTATACCATTACGGAATTCACGAAATTTGTCACGCATTCCTGCCAGGCAAAAATTAAATTTACGCCATTCAGGGTGAACTGAAGTGCAGTACACGCTACGTAAACCGAGAAAGAAGTGTGGCAATGGCCTCGTAGTAGGCGTGCATATGTATGGAATGAGTGCATACTCGGTTTCGAATTGTTCAGGAACAGGTTCTGTGAATGATTCAGCTACAAGGAGTCACCACCATCCTATTATTCTCCCTTGATAAATGAGAAATAAATAAATACGAGTGAACAATAAACATGGACGTTGTCCTGTACACCTACAAAACGACGTCAATGGAGATCGCAAATGACTTCAGACAACCATTGAGTGGAGACCTAATAACTGAAAACACCAAGGACTGCGCTCAGGTTCGTCTTCAACGAGATCTTCTTCATTCATGACGTAAAAGGACGGGAACTAACAGAAGACAGGCGGAGAAAGAAACCCTGGTGCTCAGAGCAAAGCATGAAGGGAAGATAATCTTAAGAGGAGAAAGTTTTCTTTTGCCACGGCTCAGCATCGTGAAGTGTGGAACAAACTCAGCCAAAGTGCAGGAACACATTGCGAGACTGGCCTTTCGGCATCATCTCGACGCCATGTTCTCCGCTGTACAATGCACGGAATAACCTGTCGCTCCGGCTGGGTCGACTGAGCATGCGCGGAAATGCGTTCCCGTAAACCTGCGCGGCCACGTACGCGTGAGGTAGGTGCAGCGGCCCGGACAAGCCGGAGTGACCCATGGTGATCCTGTCCGGGTAGCCATCTTCACCCATCAGCTCGCCCATCATCTGGGCAAGAGTGTCGTCAATGTAGTCACTGCTCTCCACAGGTGGGGTGGATCTCTTCTTCCTGATGACATTCTGTGTCTCGGGCTGACCGTGACCCCCCGAGACCTTGGATGCGTCGGCCTCGTCCAAGTGTTGCGCCAAGACGACAGGGTTTGACTCCACACCGCCATCGCCGTAGTTGGCGCCGCTGTCCCGTTTGCCGAAATGGAGGATTCGATGAGCCCTCTTGTTAGCTGCAGTACGGGATGTTTCTGCGGCTGCGTCGATCCCGTAATCCCAGGTGCTAGGCGATGAGGGCGCCTGCAGCCTTTTACCAAAGTGAAGAATCCTGTTTCCCGCCCGCTTGTCCATGGGAAGCTGTTGTCCATACTGATATTCTTGGTCGTCATTTCCGATTCGTTTCCCAAAGTGCATTATTCGATTGCGCTTGTCGTCTCCCATTACAGATACTATCCCGTCCTCGCGTTTGCCGAAATGGAGAATGGAGTGCTTTAGCTTTTTGTCCTTCATTGCTGCGTGGGCAGATGACGCACCATCAGCGTTAAATGGATAACCAGCTCGCTTGCCGAAGTGCATGATTCTGTTTCCCAGGCGCTTCTGCTGGTAGTAACTCACAGACCTCTGCGGTTCCCTTTTGCCAAAGTGAAGAATGCGGTTTCGCTTCTTCCACTCCTGAAACTGCCTCTGAAGTTGTCTCCCGATACCACTGAATGGCTGCAGCTGGTCCGGTCTGCCGGAGTACTTGCTGCGTGCGGAGGCGGACCTCTTGACTGCGGCGGTCGATGCGTCGTTCATTGAGGACAGACTCATTCCGGACAGATCTTCGTCTTCTCGCTTTCCAAAGTGCATGATGCGGTTCCCTCGTTTATCTTTTTCAGCTTCCTCCACATCACCGTCGCCTTCTCCACTACTGCTACTGCTGCTGGGCCTCTTGCCGAAATGTAGAATCCTGTTAGGAGCTTTCTTGTCAGCGGATACGAAGTCCAAATCGGGTTCGCCTTCCAGTCCAGTCGAAAGTCCGTATTCCGGATCCCTCTTTCCGAAGTGCATCATACGGTTTGCACCACGCTTCCCTGACGTGCCATCCATGGTTGAGTAGACGTTATCCAAGATGGCATCAACATCTTGCTGGTTATTACGTTTGCCAAAGTGCATGATGCTGTTATGAGATCCTCGTTTGACGCCGTCGTTTTCATCAACCGTTGAAGCAGTTTGCAGCCGCTTGCCGAAGTGCATGATGTGGTTTGGAGAGCGCTTGGTCTTCGATGCTGGAACAAGGTTGTCCGAGTCTTGAGACTCCGCTTGTAGGTTGAAGGCTTCGAAGCCTTCTGCGCCTGTATTCAGCATGTGAGCAGCCTCGAGAGATTTGGCCTCCTGCGCATTTCGCTTGAACCTGCGGTGAATAAAGTGGTTGTCAATTTACAAGTCTCACACAGCTCTAAGAAGACGTTCACAACTATGACATAACGAGCCAAACAAAAATACCTTAGATCCAATTCGTCATTTAGGCTAGTGTGAAGGTGCACCAATATTACAAAGGCTCAAAAAGCCAGGACCTAGTCTGAATTGATGGTTACCGATCCATGATGTTGAGACGAAGAAGTTGGGCCTTATAATACATCTGCGTTATCTTATCCCGTGCTCTTCGTATAGCACAGCCAGAATTGTATACGATGCTAGCCATTAGTACACAATTGCTGCTTCATCAAACGCTTAATGAAAGACTTCAGCCACGCATGACGCACACGAAAAGACCAGAGATTTTAGATAAACACAGTGCTTGAAGACCTATCTCAATTCTTCCTCTGGGCTGACAGCATCACATGTGGAAGTGGCGTCTGTCAGTTTCCACCCTCCTCGGTTTCTCTTAACAGGAGAACGTTAAGTGGTTTTCTGCATGCGTTTAACATTCTTGTTCCTACAGCATCGCAAAACTGCGTGGGTATACGTAGGTTACGCTTCCAAAGAGCTGTTAACGTTAGCGGCGGTGTTTTCAAAATATAACAAGGCTCGAGGAGATGCCCGTATAGTGTGTTCAGAACAGACCGAGCGTCATTAGCCACTTACATGAAGAGTAACCCATTTCGTACTCGCACGGCCGTCGCGACGAGATCGACAAGAAAAGCAGATATGAAGAATAAACGACGCCTATTCTACAATCGACACAGTCAACATCTGACGAATGTAGCGAGTTTGTTCCACGACGCCAGCCCTACGTAAAAACTACAGCTGGCTCCCTTTACACTTTCAGATTTTTTGTCTAGCCAGAGAGACATCTGTCAACGATTTTTATCTTTATCAATTAACAAATCAATGAAGAAATTATTCAGTACTACTTTTATCACGATGAAAATGTGCTTTGTTATGGTATATTGGAAAGCATTTCGATATGCAATTGAGTACACAAAAGAGAGATCGCCAGATAAACGCGGCAATAAACTATTCTCTTTCTGTCTTTCTTTCCCTGGAACTGTGGAACATTCTCTCACCTCAGTTGTTCTCCACCGCTTCCTTCCTCCTCCGGTTCTCTCTCGCCAAAGTGCAGGAAGCTGTTGGGCCCGTCTCGAAGTGTCCTCTTGGCCCATTGTAGAGCAGCCGCCTCGGGGCCCTCCTGGGACGTGGTCACCTCGTCGTCGTCTTCATCTTCTCCTCCACTCCACTCGGCTTCTTCTTCGCCCGAGGCTGTGGCAACGGAGCTGAGTGCCGGAGACCTGTAGCAGCACAATTGTTTCGCGGAGTTAGGCTAACAAGGAAGTCACCGCTAAAGAGTAAGCCGAGTTAGAACAGTCTTAGTGCTCTGAAAGCTTTGCTTACCTGGCGCTTCACTGAATCAAAAGAATTACGGAAAACTTGAAATGTTTCAATCCCCATGGGAAGTGAGGCTCGTAATGAACAGGTGTGAAATTCAGTGAACTTGCACAATGTGCGTAACAAAAAATTTCTCGCAGGGCAGGTGAATCTGTGACACAGCGACGATTGTAAGATCCTTTTCTGTTTTCTTGTATTGTAGATATATAAAAAACTCGTAAGGGGGGTTTTGTGCTCGATCCGATGTTCCAACCTTCAAGGGTAAGTTTGATTTCTATAGCACTAGCGAGTATATGCTGCGTATTCTCTATTCCAAAACGAACAAAGGAGAGTGAGAGGACAATTGTGAATATGGTAATTCGGGAGAGGGGCCAACGTGATGGACTGTTAGACCAAAAGCGAAGAAGTATTTCATGAATAAAAAGAAAGGAAACAAGCTGCTTGCAGTGTTTCCCTCAATCGTGGCTTTCAGAGGAAGTGCCACTTAACGTCGGTAGCTTTGGAGATCACAGGGGGTTGTCTTGAATCTCGATGGTTTTCGTTGTGTATGCATCAATTGGAATGAATTCAAGTGTCGCTTTGGAAAAGTTCATACCTGTTGGCTGGAATGTATTGAATTTGTGAATAAGGTATTACTCTATATTTTGTCTGTCTTGCGGACCAGAATCTGCACGGAGGTGCACATGTAGTGTTTGAGATCTTCGAAGTTCTAAACGACTACATTAAAATGCTGGGACACTGCTTTCGGTGAGTTATTCAGTGTGTCTTAGCGATAAAAATTTACCCTAAAATGAACAGGCTGTCCCGTTACGCTGAAGAACCGTTCTGAGAATACGGACGTTTGATCACGTAGATAATAATTGAAGTAGTGCACATAACGGTTGCTTTTATATGATCGACGTAATCACTTAGGACTCAAACTATAATGCCATCTTTATTGTGCTTGCAGGTTTTACTTCTTGGACGAGAGCAAACTGCTAAGAGGGTGGTATATTGCAGGGTTAAATTTGCAAGATGTCTTTAAAATTTCACGGGATAGCTGTTCTCTCTTGCTGACACAATTTGTATCGGTAGCCCCTCTTCTTTCTTACACTACCATAATCACATTTTTCCTCTCCCAATTTTTTGTGCGGATTGGAAGAAAGGGTACGAAGCATATACTCGCTAGCGATTAGGACATCAGTTTTAGCCTTTAACAAGTCTACTTGCCGAAACGAAGACTCACGCGCAGAACTCCCGTTTACAATTTGTTTTCATAGCAAACTTCCAGCTTACCCTTGCTGGCGCTTCTTGTATTATAGAGAGTTATTCACAGAGTCGTATGGAGAGCCACGGACGGCACGAATTCACACCTTATGTAAGGCTATAAACTGTCACACAATTGTATGTAAAGAAGTACACATGCAACACCTAGGCATTCTTTACACCTATAAAGAGAGATGCTCAGGAGAGAGACAGAGGTGAAAATAAAATGGTGTGAATATACATGCTATTGAGATTGCCCCTGATAGATGAAGAATAGGGTTTCGTACAAAGCATCTTACTAGTCAAAGTTGTCACTCCGCTATGGTGTTTGCTACAGGGTTATCTTGGTGTCTGCAGTATCAAAAACAGTCACGCAGCATTTTTCAGATCACACTTTTGCAGAACCAGATAATTATAAACTTTTCTCATTTCCTGACTATACATCAGCTCTCATTATTCACTTTTCAATCTCAAGGCTCCAATATTCCCACGACTTAACGAAAACGGCGGCTTACCCGTAGTACGGTGCCAAGAGGGCCCTTTTGCGCCCAAAATGTAGAAACCGGTGTCGCCTAGGTGGATTCAAAGCCGCCCGAAGGACTCTGTAGTCGTCGACGGAACCACTGGCGTCGTCAAAGGCGCGTGCAGCTCTCGACACCCGGTTCAAGGCTCCGGGTGTTTCTGAGGACACCCCATCGCTTGCGTGTCTGGCACCATCGGCGACATGGGGCGAATTTCCTAATGGCGTGGGAGGGGATGTACTCTGTTCCGGCTGGGACAGCAGCTTGGCATCTGAAAATGTGTCACAAATTACACGTGGCTGTTTACCGACTTGGGGGAACAAGCAAATTTCAGGCTTAGCCTTAGAAGGTTCTGCTATAGAGGAGCATGCAATGTTCAAGCACAGCCTGATGAGGTTCTAGCACGCGAAGACGTTATGGTGCAGTTTTTTTTTCAATAAAATTGAATTACAAAAAAAGAGATACATTGGAATCAGAAGAGGCATCCGAAATCAAAGTAGATTGTCATTCATATCTACGAATTGCAGTTGAGCGTCACTGATGCACCCCAATGAAAAAAAAAAAAAATAAGCCAATCAGCTTCGTGTAGATACCACAGACTGTCAAACGTATTTCTCGGAATGAAGTGTGCTAGATCTACGAGGCTCTTTGAAAGTACAAAAACAGTAAACGATCGCCAAAAGAGAAATGCGCTGACGTCTAGATGCGTTCTATATCTAATTGTTTCATATGAAAGCAATGCAGTCGTGTGATTTAACTAAATCAAGGACTAGTAATGAGAGCTCTGCTTCTAGTTCCCTCCAGCACGTAACTGAACTGTGAGGTTACACAACCACGACTACGCCACCCATCTAAATCTTCGCACATCCGAATACATGCGAGTTTGTAGATGAAATTTATGTTTGTAAAAAAATGACTAAATGAGTAAAAATATCAAGCGAACATAACCACCAGACAAGCTTCCAGTTTGCCACCATACGCTGGTATAAGAAAACAAGGAATGGCCGAGTGATAAATACCGCGCGAGAAGGCTACCGTGCTAACGTCTGCAAGTTTCCCAATGTGCCGATTTGGGGTATGTATTGCGACTGTGATGAGTGCGTGAAGAATTTCAGGAGCTTTTACGTACAATCAAAGCAAGATTTTGAAATCTAGCTGTAGGTTTGATATTTTTTTTCTCTTGATTAAAACATCAGGACGAAGAGCGGAGCAAACTAGGCTAAAATATTGTTAAAGTCGTTTTGCGTTTTGGCTGTTATTCTAAAGGAATAGGCATTGATTACCTTTTTCTTCTGTCGCAAATTTGCCAAAACTTTGCTTATTTTTTTCTATTGTGTACTCTACGTTAATCGAACCTTCTTTTCTGATTATTTAGAATGCCTTCACATTATGTCCGCAAAAGATTATGCTCCTTTCGCAGGACAGCAGTGTTAAAACCGGCCAATTGTAAGCCCCTCCTTTATAATTTCCCGTGTTAATCGCCTTCCGTTTCACGTGATAGCCTCAAGTTGTATAACAGTTTGTTGTATTTCTTCGCTCAACGTTACTTAGTGGCATCGCATTCAGATACCGGGCACTTAATGACTACCGTCTTCATCATGAACCTCATCCTAATTTATGTTCACTGCAGAACGAAGTTCTCTCACAACCACCTCCAACTTAGGCTATCTTGTGTGAGCTAGTTTGATTTGACGCACGCCAACTTTTTAACTTTTTTCAATGCATTTTACTCGCTGCTCTCTCAGATGTGCACCTCGTCATTTTGTAACCATTTCATTACTATACCACAAAACAGGTACTCTGTTCTGGGTGCCTTTGACGTTATTGGTGTCTTTATTGTGTTACTTGCCTTTACACACGGTACTAGGACAAGAATGGTGTATGGTTTTTGAAATTATGTGTAGGCTTACGAGAAACTGAGATTCGCCTCGTCATCTTCACACCCTGTTTGGCATGCTGCCTTAAGTCAATGAAACAACACCAGACACAAAATCTTTAGTCATTAGTCTTCAGATATTTTTGAAGAAGAATGCATTCAGAACGTACCTTCAGCAGTGCAGACCAATATCGAACCACTGTAGCAGCCCACGATGCATAGAAGCAGGACTACCTTCATACTCCCAAAGTCTATGATAGGTTCTCTGTAGGAATAAAAAAAAACAGCGAGAATATGGCGTTTAGTAACAGTTAAACGTTAAAAGAGCTATAACTCAGCAAGAAAAAAAGAATATAAAAAGAAACCTGCGACAGTTCAAAGATTCTTGCAATCAAATCAACGTTCACGTATCAACATAAACAAGAGTTGTCGCAAAAGTACCGCTTTTCTTAAGGAGCCTTTTTTCATCCTAAGTAAAAAAAAGATAATTGAGGCATAAGATCTTTGATATTTTTATCGGATGAATATTATCAAGTTTGAAATGCTTCACACCGCTGTTAACGTCACCATGATTGTTAGAGCTTGTCACTTGAGAATTCCCTTAAGGAAGTGCAGGACTCAGTATACATGCCCACTAAATGCCTAAAACAGTTTATAGCAATACTTCATCGACCAAGAACATTATTTGTGTTTACTCTCTTGATTCATTTGTAAAGACAAGATTACCATTGTTTGCCTATTAGATGAAGAGTTATCACCATGTAGCTGATAGCACTATTCTACATTGCTGAACCCTACCCTTCCTGCAGTTCATTAGCCTCAAAGGAAAGATTGGGAAGAGATATACATTCTCAAAACAGAGGTCATGCAGTATAAAACCTCTAATGCATTAAAGTTTCGGTAGACAGATAGTCAAAGCTTACTAGCCGTAAAAATGTAGTATGTTTCCTGTGTTCGCTTGGCAAGCAGGTGTTGTACCACTGAACCACACCTCCGCTAGCGAATACAGTGAAAATATTATCATCTGCTTGGAAATGCAGTGACAGTAGCTCATCCTCTGCAAACACACGATACCTGTATACATGCTTCACAATACAACATGAAATATTGCCCCCTAATAATACGCTGTAGAAGCATACATTGCCATAGGGTGTCAGAACATGGTATTACCATAAGGGCTTCCTAATTTAAAACCAGTCACCCACTACAAAAGGTACACTCGCTGCTGCACTCTTGAGGCCACGTAGTGGGTGCATAGCAACTTCTAAAATATTTCATACACTAAATGTCTCAAGCACGCACTATGAAAAGAATATTGCTATAATGTTCAACTCTTGAAGGCGAAGCTTAAGGGTTCCCCAGATTTTTTCGCACTCTTTTTTTTTTCAAGTGATTGCAAATCGCGTTTCCTGTACATAATATACACCAAATATACATTATAATAACAAGACAAGCTCAACTTTTGTTGAATATCTTGAAGCCTGGACCTAAGTGACGCCTTGCAATGGAGTACAAGGCATATATGCTTCGAGTTACTCGTGCGCTCATGCGTACCAAGAAGTCACTATTAAGTGCATTTATGCAAAAAATATTTTAATAACCAGCACGCCTTTATACTATTGCCAGGACGAGTAAGCAGAAAATGTGAATTCGTGTTACAACAAAAGTGAAGCAAAAAGATCTTAATGCCCTTTCCTTTCCGACATAGCAGCTAGCACTGTAGCTGTGTTTAGGTGTACGAGATGGTTAGAATTGTCATTCAAAGACGTTGTCCTTTGCTAGTTGTAAAACAATTTATTTTCTACTCGCTTTTTGTGTGGGTAAACTACAAAGTATAAAAATTCATACACGTTTATTGTGCCCGTGTACTTAACGTCACTTTACATTGGACGAGTTGCTATAGTTGTGTGCAGCCTGACTACAGCTTTCTGCTGGATGTCATCAATCACTTGTCAATAGACCCATTGTCAATAGCGTATGGCTGTCCACCACACTGCCCTAGTGGCTACGGTGCTCGGCTGCTCACGCGAGGGTAGGGGGTTCCACCACGGTTCGGAGGGTCGCATTTGAATGGAGCCTCAAAGCGGTGGTCTAGTGACTACAGTACTCAGCTACTGACTCGTAGGTCGCGGGTTCGAATCCAACCTGCAGTGGCTGCATTTGCGGTGGAGCCGAACATGTTGTAGGCCCGTGTGCTCAGCTTTGGGTGCTCATTAAACAAGCCAAAGTGGTCTAAATTTCCAGAGACCTCCACTACGGCGTCTCTCATAATCATATGGTTGTCTTGGGACGTTAAACCCCACATATCAGTCAGCGCTTGATTAGAAGCGAAGCGCTAGACGCTCGAGTACGGTGCGATGACAGTGCGCGCTAAAAAAAACCACATGATCGAAACTTTCAGAGCCCCTCACTGTGGCATCTTTATAATCAAATCCTACACAACAGTGATGAAGAGAGAGTTTTAGAATAGTGCACCGCGAGCCGTTGCGGTGCGGTCGCTGCCACTGCGCATGCGTCGTAACGTGAACCACCGCTCGCGTTCGCGGCCCGCACGCACAAAACCCGAAATAGCGTGCGGCGATCGTGGCCCCTGAGAGGCCCACGAAGGGCTGTGTGTAGCTTCCGTGCGTTTGGGTTCCCGGCCAGGGCGAAAGTTCCTAGACTTTTCCCTAGGAGAAGCAAACACTATTCTGAAGCTCATATGGCGCTCGCAACTAAATCAGCGCCCTCAACACCCGGAAACGTTATTCTAAAGCTCCTTAATACTTCTCGAATAGCACACCATAGAAAAGTAGCGTTAAAGAAAAGAAGTGCACTTGCCTGTCAGGCCGCCGCTTATTCCAAAACAGTCGCGAGCATGCAAAACCTACTTCTGTGTGGTGCTGGAGATGTGCGTATGACTGAAGATGCGCGTATCACGAAACCAAAGCAACAAAAAAAGTATTTTTCTTTCGCCACTGCTGCTTGAACTCTAACGGTAAACAACCGCGTTGTGAGCCGATATTGTGGCACAATGAATCCGCAGAGCGTACGCGTTACGGGAGTAATATCTTCTAAACAAGCAACAATGGAACAGTGGCGAGTCAAACGCGGCAAAGAGAGGAGGGCTTTGGAGAGATATTCGGCGCCGAAGGGGAAAGATAGGGTTGCACTGAATGGACACCACGAGAATAGCCGCAGCTGTCTGATATCAGCTGTTCCGGAGATGTACGTGCCCTGCATTCTTTGTATACGACTTTTTCCCAGCTTCCGTGCTTGCCTTGCGACCCGATAGCAGTCCCGGAATTACTCGAACGTAAGCAGTGGACAGAGAAAACTGAAGCTTAATCGAACATTGGTTATGCTATGTTTTTTTTACGTTACTAACTAACACTCATATGATTCTCGGCTCGATGAGAGCCCAGAGCGACTTCTCAGTACTTTTGTCGTCTCAGGTGCTACCATTGACAAAATGATATGGAGTGCTTTGTTTTTATTTTTTGCATGTTAGCGAAATTGCGTGGCGTTCCAGGACCATAATGGCCAGAGGTATCGTGTCGACTGGGTTTGATGCATTATTATGAGTGTTCCATGTACTATGTTTATGTTACTACTTCTTACTACATTTTACTGTCAAAGTGGACTGTAATTGAATTACTGCGTGGTTCATGAAAGCTTATGAAATAAAAAACATGAATGAAAGTGTTACAATTACCGGATACCATTTTTTAACGCTGCAGCTACTTCTTGTGACTGTGGAGCCAATTCTCGCCAAGTCCCGCCTCGATAATGTTCGCTTCAAATGTTCGCATATACACCTTTTATTGTAGCAGCATAGGTAGGTAAAACTGGCTCAGATGTCATCCTCATAAATAATAAAGCTTAAGACACTCTAATAAACTGCATGAACACACACAAGATGTTGCCGGTCATGTAGCAAAAAAAGTAATCGCAATAGTTATATATGTAAGCTTCTAAGTACGTGTTAAAAATATATATTCTGAAGATAAGAGGGCCGTTATCGATACGCTTCCAGAGGTTTTTTTTTTTCTTTACCTCTTACCGGAAACAAAGCCTTTCCGACATACTGTACGTGATGCATACTCATAAGGAGCAAACGAGGTGACACTACTGCAGCGCCCCACCGCGGTGGTCTAGTGGCTAAGGTACTCGGCTGCTGACCCGCAGGTCGCGGGTTCGATTCCCGGCTGCGGCGGCTGCATTTCCGATAGAGGCGGAAATGTTGTAGGCCCGTGTGCTCAGATTTGGGTGCACGTTAAAGAACCCCAGGTGGTCAAAATTTCCGGGGCCCTCCACTACGGCGTCTCTCATAATCATATGGTGGTTTTGGGACGTTAAACCCCACATATCAATCAAGACACTACTGCAGCGTCGTCCAAACGCGGGATTAGATTATTTTTCGAAGTTATCGGGAAGGTATCAACTGTCGCAACATAACTGGAACCACGAGGCTCTCTTACGTTCTTTTGTCACGGTACACACTTGCAAGGTCATGAAGACGCTAAGAAGAAACAGCGCGCCGTCGAAGAAAAGTGAAATGTCTTTATCTCTTTTACTGGGGCGGCCGAAAGTGCGCACGGGCTTTTCGTATTTTGCCTAATCATTCTAGACAGGACAGCCTTTTCGAGGACCAAGATAAGCTTATCTCGCGTTCTAGCCCTTCGACCAATGTTTACCGTGGGGCATACTTTTATTATATTTTTTACTTGTCAGAGGCGGCTTCTAGAAACACGAGCTGAAAATAGCGGCGAGCAACTTTGTAGTTTTTTCGTCGGAGAGTGAACAGACCGACACGTTTGGGCAAGTCTGTGTTGCATGGCGGGGTTAAGCTTACGCTAGGGATGTTAGACGCTGAGCTGCTTACAGTACGCTGTCCGAAGCGTCGCGATTATCAAAGTGAACACCTTTTCAAGCCATCACACACAAAAAAATATATTCCAATATTTTTTCTTACAAAGCGCACTCGTTTCAGCTAATAAAACACTGAATGAAACGCTTTAACGCTAGGCAAATGTGCCAACATAATTCGTCCTATGTTTGTAGAAGAACAAAGAGAAGGTATCCTTGAAATGTTTGACAGTGCTCCACTCGTCATCGTCATCATCAAAATCACCATCGTTGTCAAAAGTCTCGTTACGCCTACTGTCACCAACGATAACGAAGCCTATAGGGCAAGGCGGGCTTATCTTTTCTTGGTGTTTTGTGTTCCACGTTAATTCTGGGGCATGATTCTCGATATGTTCACTCTGTGAACTGTCCAC